TTAGCAATTTCGATATGTAGAAGTACATTTTGAGGGAAAAAAACAAATTGTTTCCATTGAAGTTTTACTTCGTCATAAGTACTCCCATCTAATCTCAACACACGCTCAAACTTAGGCCATGAACTTCTCTGATTGAACGCATCTATCATATTCTTGTGAAGGTGCCTCAGCTATTGACCACCACTGTTGTCTTCTAGCCGATCGATTTCTCGAGTTTCAAATTCTACTTTGAAAGCGAAACCGAGGTAACAAAAGAATCGCATTTAACAAACAGTGGACCTCATATCACATGGAATCGCTGGATTATGTGACATAAGATCTATGACGAATCTGCTTCACACGTTCAAAAGGATGACTATAATTAATCCATAGAAACAATAATTTACATCCAACGCCCTCATTGACCATCGTTCTACAGAGGAATTGAATCAGAATTTAAGAATCATAGCTGATTACTAATTCAATTATCTTTGCTAGTTACTATGTTGCTTGATTAAGTTATCGAGCATAAAGGTCGTTATAGAATATTTAACTTACACTTCCTCTTAATTCTCAGAACAACATAAGATAATTAGATTTAACGGAGATAAACCTGGCTTAGCAAGAAAAATTCAGTCGAGAAAGTTCTTTTTCTGTGCTTAGAGCTTGAAGAAACGTCGGACCTACACTGAAAACGCACGCGATTTTCTTGTATAAAAAACGGGCCGCAGCAACTCAATGAGAGGAACGAAGAAGAAGGCATTTGAGCGTAATAAAAGAGATTTCAGGATATTTGGTGAGTTTCAAAATAGAGAAATCGTAATTCCTAGCTAGCTTCGAGAAGGTTACGCAGAGAACTTGGAAGACGAACTGACAGAAAGTATACAAGTCGTGGAAAATAGATTATCACTGAGTCAAAAAGAGAATTTCAACGCTGAAACAGGAGAATAAAGAATTTTTAAAGGAAACAGCGAGCTGTATACTCTAAACCTATGGTATAAGAAATCTGATGAATAAAGTCTGAAATCAACTACCGATAATCCTTACTGTACACGCAAACAATCAAACGCAACAAATTTACTACTCTCTTCACTATATTTACCTGAATCTACAGCATACTTATAGCTATATGTACTTAGGAGTCCAAATGTATTAGGAAGATACTACTAAGTTTCCTTAATCTGCACTTCTTTCAAGATGAGCCATAGATTATGCGCTCACCTGGCAAATTCGTGAGCTGAGAGCAAATCTCTATCAGCGCTGCT